TCTGGTTTTACTTAAATGATTTCAGGCTTGAAACACCTTTTATTTTAGGAATTTCACATTGTTTTTGGTATTGTCTGAGAGGGTTTGATAATCAGGGGGTAGAGGAGTCCAGTCCTTGGGCCAGGAGATGTGAGATCAGCTTTCCTTTGCCCCACGCATCCTTCATGACAGACCAGCCCATTCTACCTGGAACTTGTGTGCCACTTCTTTAAGAGGGGGATGGTGTGGCTTTCTTTGCAGGCAGATGATCTGGTCAGATAGCATCCTAAGGCTCTTTTATTTATAGCTCTGGTAGAAGACTTGCAATCTTTTTGACACCAGAATAACAGAAAACCCTGGATTGTCTAGCTTGAAGGGGGGTCGAGTTCTGTGTATTTCACTGTGCACAACTGGAGGTGAAGGTCATTTGTGGCTCAGATGCTTTAGATTTACTTTTCTGTTCCTTGTGGTAACCGTGAGCCCCATGTGGCTACTTAAATTAATTAAAATTAAGTAGAATTGAAAGTTTAGTTCTTCAATCACATTAGTCCCATTTCCTGTGTTCAGTACCACATGTGGCTAGTGGCTACCTTATTGGACAGTGCATACATGACACATTTCCACCACTGCAGAAAGTTCTGTTGGTTAATGTGGCTTTGGAATCTTACCCAGTGAAGATGTTTATAAAAGCAGAACAGTTCTGAAGAATCTGGAAGTTTCCTCAGAAACAAGGGGAACATTATCTTGAAACATGGGCAGACACTGAGGTAATAAATAAAATAGACCTTTGTAAAATTATAACATTAATTTGCTTTTTTTGCCCATGAGAAATAACGGAGCCACCTACTGTTGGATGCTCTAATATATATTAGACCTCAGAGTTTTTTGATGCCCAAATGTACTACTAAGTTGAAATTACCTGTTGCCTGCTAGTGTCCGCTGTGAAAATCAAGGAAAAACAACATCGGGTGTTGTTTGGAAAGTTAAGGAGGTTACTGGTTTTAGATTCACTGGTTTTCTTGGGAAACCGGTATTTGTAAAGCCATTTGAGATCGCTTGTGGGTTGCTGCCATCTTTTTCTATCTTGGAGTGAAATGTCCACTTTAAAAAATATTATTACATGCTTACCTCTTATGTAATTTGTGACTCCTTGCTCCATTGAAAGAAGGCTAATATACAGATTAATATTTGCAGTGCTAGAAACAAAAGAGCAGCATGATTTTAATAGCAAAATAAGCAATGAAACCAGTTCTTGGGGAAATGTCATGCTAATGAAACTGTTTTTTGCTCCATTAAAACTGATTTATTATCTCACAGGGTTGGTTTTAGGGAAGAAAGCCCAGTGCACAACTCTCTCTCTCT